TCAGGCTGAAGTTGTTTGAATATAAGTGAAATCATCTGGTTTTTGTCTTTGACTGGAATAAAAATAGGCGTGTGGTCTATTCCTGCCGTATGTGAATTTATAATTAGAGATGCCAATAATGTGCACATTGTGTTTAAGAGAATAGAAGCAGGAAATGAGACTGTCAGTTTCAATGAAGCAGGCGTTTCCCAGTAGTTATTTTTTGGAGGAGATAATGAACGGTTCCAGGCTTGGCTCGACAGCACGTCAAGCAAGAAAGGCTGTGGAACGGCAATACAAGCAACAGCTTGGTAAAGACAGGCTCCGCCGACTGCCAGTGTTGGCCAGATGGAGGAAAGAAAAGGAGCAAGTAGTGATGTGGCAGAGGTGAGGAAGCAGTGTGAGACCAAGGAAATGAGATGAAAAGAGAAGGAATAGAAGGTGAGAATTAAAAGGAAAAGGTGGAAATGGTGCGACTGTTATGCACTGTTAGATTTAGTGAATTTAAAGGGCAAGCAGCTTGTCACAAAAAAAACAAAAAAACAGTTAGATTTCACAGGCTTCTGAAATTCTGAATACCACGGAGTAATGAAAGACTAAAGCAAATAATACCATTTGAAGTGCTCGTACTGTTTTGCAAGAGCATGTGGATCTGTTATACAAAGTAGGTGTTGTGTGAAAGTCATGGGGTAAAAATCATGCTGTTTCACCCTTTTTGATTTAACAGGAACGTCACCCAGATCGAGTTTTAATTAGGAATAACATACATCCATGTCTGCAGCCATAAAGAAATACTTTGATGTCCAGCCTGGATAGTATTCCGGTTGGCCTAAAAAACACCAGGGGTTGAAAATCCTCAGTGTTAAATTAAGATGCTCATGGAGATGGTGTTGAGACGTTTTAGGCAGCTAACGGCAGCGGATGATAACTCCCTGTCTCGGATGGACATTTTTATCAAGATGTCATGCAGATTTCAAGCCATCCATCATTTTTATATAACCTTAGACTAAAGACAGAGCCACGGTGGCATCACCATGCCATCCAGTGGACGCACGGAGTAACTGTGCCGGCCGGAGGTGATAACTGGTTCTGTGAATCAGAAATTTTATGTGAGGTCAAGGTGAGTTTTACACCTTACAAAATCTAAAGGTTTACAATATATGACACTCTCTATTTATAAAACACATCTTTGGGTAAATAAATATTCTATAATGTTATTAACAGTGTTGGGTAAGTTACTTTAAAATAGTAACTGAGTTACATTACTAGTTACTTCTATCAAAAGTAACTCAGTTACTTCAAGTTACTCGTTACTTTCAAAGTAACTAGTTACTAGGGAAAGTAACTTTGGTTTTACTCAGAATTCTCTTGTTAATGTGTTGCTTCCATAACTTTGCCAGTCTTCTAG